CCCGCCTCAGCCTCCCAGAGTGCTGGGAGTACAGGCGTGAGCCACCGCGCCCGCTGCTCCTTCCCTCTCTTGTCTCTTTCATTCAGGAAGTCAACAGTGGCGAGTGCCCGTGCGTGACAGGCTGCTGTCTGGTGTTGGTACAGTGAGAAAAGGTAAGAAATCCCAGGAATGCAGAAGCCCCCAGCCCTGTGTCCTCCTCCCTGGGTCCCCGCATTGCCAAAGCCTTGCCTGTGCAGTTGGCAGGCAGGAAGCACCCCTGCTGGGGCCCAGGCCCAGGCCCTGTCCCCTGAGCCCTGGCCGCCCTGGGGAGGGCGGGGCTGGTTGCCAAGGGCTCAGGTGGTATGATCAGGATCAGGATCCGGTAGGAAGCAGGAAGCAGTCCGTGCTCCCCAGGACCTGGGACCTGCTGGCTGGGGTGGCTCCAGGCTCCCAGAAGGCAGGTGGGGCTGAGGGCAGGGCTGCTGGGTGGAGAGAAGGGGGAGGAGGATGGTGGCTGGGGAGGGGATTGCCCGGGTGGTCAGGGTAGGGACCAGAGGGCTGGCCTGGGAGGTGGTGGAGGCAGAAACTGGCGCTGGGACTGGGACAGGCCAGCTGGCCGAGCCCCGTGTTCTGAGGTGGCCTCCGGGGGGCCGGGACAGGTGGCACCTCTGACGTGCCTGCCGAGATGAGTCTGTCCATGGAGGAGCTGGAGGCGACAGCTCAGGAAGTGCTGGGCAGACTGAGCAGCCACCAGCTGTTCCAGTCCTCATGGGACACCGCTGCCTTCATTGTCTTCCTCACCTTCGTTGGTGAGTATGGCCTCAGCCCTGGGGCCCATCCGCCTCCCGCCCCGGGCCCTGATTAGGGGCCACATCTGGATGCCCATTCTGTCCCCAGGCACCGTGCTGTTCCTGCTGCTGCTGGTCCTCGCCCACTGCTGCTGCAGCTGTTGCTGCAGCTCGCCCAGGCAACATAGGGAGAGCGCCGGCAAGGTGAGCCCCTCGGCCTGGGGCACCCGGAACTTTCCTGGGGTGGAGGAGGGAGGGCAGGGGGGGAACGGAGGAGTGAACCCTGGGCCCCTCTGTGCCTCTCTTGCAGAAAAGACACAAGGGAGTAGACAACTTGGCCCTGGAACCTTAACCCCGAGAGTCCCCACCAGCCACTTCCTGTGTCCCGCCTGGTGCTGCAACAATGCCCTGTGTCTGCCCAGAGCCTGAGTCTGGACTGTGTTCCAAGCCCCCGTCGGGGTGGGCAGTGTGGGGACTCACTGCTCCATTTAGGTGCCCACCTTGTCCTTCTAAGCCTTCACTGGCGTCACTCCAGGTCACCCAGCTGAACTCCCTGGCAGAGTTCTTGTCACCACCCACTGGGCCCCTTGGCAGCCAGAGGGCCCTCTCCCGAAGGAGGTGCAGGGAACAGGAAGCCACACCTGAGAAGAGGGGTGGCCGCCAGCTCCTGACACTGCCAGCCACCGGCCACCAGGATCCCAGCCTGGGTCCCTGCTCAGACACACAGACGGGGCTCCAGGCAAAGTCCCATGGTCTTTATTTCTTGAAGGGCCCCTGTCGGGCTACAGCTCCCGCTTCCCTCCCCACTCCCAGCTGAGTACCCCACCCAGCCTCAGCCCCCAACGGACAGCGAAGGGACACAGGAAGGAGAGCCTGGGCCCGCCCCGCCCTGAGTCCAAAGTGCCCACAGCGCCCAGGAGGGCAGGCCCCACCCTTTTGACCCCCAAACACACCAGAGCAGTGTCCCCTCCACCCAGGGCTGCCAGTTTGCTGCCGTCGGTACGAGGTGTTGGCAGGACGGGGTAAAGACAAGGAAAACAGCCGCTGTGCCTGGCTCTGGCTGGCACTCTGGGGGAGTGTGTGGGGGCATGGGGGCCACCTTCCAGGGGACAGGCTTCTGGGTCGCCGTGCTCAGAAGGGTCTGTAGCTCCAGTAGCTGGAGAACACGGAGATCTGCAAAGGGAGGTGATGCGGTCCGTGGTGGGTTTGGAGGACGGAGTGGGGCCTGGCCCTGCCGCACCCTCTGTAACCCAGGTGACATGTCCAGGTCACCCAAGGGCAATGGGTCAGGGGAGGTATCGTTGCCTCACTGCCTAGTGCACATGGGGGTACAATGGACTTGAACACTTGGGGGCATTTGGGAGGTGGGACGAGAGCCCCGGGAACCTCCTCCCCGCAGACGAAGGGGCCCAGCAGCCCCACTGCCCCACCTTGTCCTTGAGCTGCTGGCAGAGCTGCAGGGACACGGTGAAGTAGACCAGGGCGTCGTTGAGCCAGGGGATCACGCACTCCACCTTGTGCACGTGGCTCACCTCCAGGCGCTGGGAGCCCCACTCGCTAGGGCACGAGGGGAGGGGTCCTGAGGGCGTGCCCAGCCCTGGCCCCCAGGGTGCAGAGGGGAGGGACAGGGGGGCAGTCCAGGACCCCTCCCCTGCCTACTTACAACATGGCCCCAGGGCTGTGGAGCACGGCGCCTCCAGCTGGGCGGAAGTTCTAGGCAGAGCAGCACCAGACCCGTCAGGCGCGAGCCCCGCAGGGAGCGTCGGGGGTCCGGGGAAGGGGTCCCGCTCACCTTGGTGGAGTTGGGCTGCAGTGCGTGCAGCTGGTACACGGTGAGGCAGAGCTTGTTGAGGTTGATGTAGACGTTGACCAGCAGGTCGGAGGGCAGGGCAGGGGCGAACATCCGCTGGGGGAGCAGGGGGGGTGAGGTCCCTCCCAAGCCCTCTTGGCCTGGCTGGCTGGAGCGGGGCCCTGCTGCACCCCAGTCTGGGGCCCTGGAGTCACCGAGGAGTCTGCAGAGGGCGCAGCCTCTGCAGAACCACCTGACAAGAACCCCGGTCCCCACCCACGGAGCCGCTCTGGGGCTTCCAGACTTTCCCCAGGTGTCCAGGTATCTTCCCGACCGCCGGGTTGGGGAACCACCGACCCAAAATGGGGTTAACATACTTGGGTGACACAGGATGGAAGCCAAGAACCCCACTGCAGAAAACTGCACAGAGTTCTGACTGCCTACAAGTTGGGGGCTGGCACGCCTCTGTGCCCTTCGTGGGGCCCCCTCCCCTGGAGCAGGGTGGCCCGAGGCACTGACCGTGAGGCCGCTGGCGGCGATCTCAGGCAGGGTGAGGGTGGCCGGGGTGGTCAGCCGGTTTCGGGCTCTGGTCAGCTGCAGCATCACGGCATCCATCAGCTGGGGGGAAGGGCGGGTCACAGCTGCTGCACAGGCAGCAGGGCCTGGGCCCCTCCCCCAGCATCAGTTACAGTAGCTCCCACTCCTGCCTGGGGTGACCGTTCTCAGGGCCTGAAGCCCCCAGCAGGGGCCTGTTACAGATGCAGGTCACTGGGGGAGGGGCAGGCCCTCTGCACTAACGACCATCAGGACGGGGATTTACTAACGGGGCTCCCGGGCACTGGTCCAATGGGGAGTGGAAGGTCCTGGGAGGTCAGACCCAGGGGCACAGGCTTTTCGGGTGGGAGTGCTGGCAATGAAGGAGCTCAGGGGGCCCTAATCTAGCTTGGGGACAGGGAGGGCTTCTTGGAAGAGGCAGCGGGATGGCTGAGCTGAGGTTTTAAGGTGAGTGGCAGCCCCATTTTCACAGGTGAGGAAGCTGAGGATCCAAAGAGGGAAGCCAAGGTCACACACCCCGTGAACAGTGGAACCACCTGCAGCCCACCCCTCCCTTTGCTGTGGAGCAGGGCCCTGGCGGACTCCCGGTGGCCGTGTAGCTGTTGCCACGGGTACCAGGGTGACCCGGCAAAATACGGTAGAGGCATGGGGGCTGCACCACCCCAGGGCGTCTCAACTCTGGAAAGGACCTCAGTCCATTTGCTTCCAAGTATGAGGAACCAGAGGTCCAGAGAGGGTAGGGAAGCCTTCTGAGGACACACAGCAAGTCAGGCAGAGCTAAAGCACAAGTCCAGGCAGCCTTGTCAGCTAGCTCTTCACACATGCCAAAGTGTGGTTAAGGGGAGGCTTCTACCCTGGGCCACCTGACGCGAATTATCATGGTTAACAGTCACTACAACTTGTCCTGCTTTTACAGGGAGGAAATGGAGGCACAGAGAGGCTAAGTAAGCAAACTGAGGTTACAGAGGTTGCACAGCTCACAGTGGAGGCCTTGGGATTGGAGCCCTGGGCTGGATGCATGGACACTGAGAGGTCCACCTCCAGCAAGCCTGAGGCTGTGGGCCCAGGCCCGGGGAGCACAGGGTAGGGGGTAGGGCTGGGAACCTGGCTCTTGCCCCTGTGGGTGGCTCACCTTGAGAACCTCGGCCCCCGTCTTAAACTGGTAGCTGTTGTCCCGGTTGGTGAGGAGGTACATGGCTTGGCTCACGTGGTTCCTGGCATCCTGGATCTGAAAACAGTGCCCCCCCGGGTGGTCACCGAGCCTGGTCATGCCAGCTTTTGCAGCCACAGTCTCTGGGGTCCACTGCCGGGGGCCCTTCCCCCAGGAGGGGAGGGTGGGTGCTGCCTGCCCGACCCAGGTCAATCTACTCTCCCCCATGCTGTCTCTGCGCCCTGGAAGACAGGCCCTGGCCAGGTGCTGGGCGTCCGGCACAGACTGGGGCAGGCCTGGTCTCTGTCCTGTGTAGCTCCCTTCTAAAGGACACACTGGTACCGCAGTAAACACCCAAGATGACAACTGTCTTTGAGACTCTTGAAAGGAAGCAGGGTGATGGGGGGGGCAGCTGCAGGGGACGTGCAGGGGCAAGGGCCTGCGCTGGAGACTGCGCCAGAGCAGAGGGGACGGGGAAAGAACCAGGGCCCAAGGGCATGGGAGCTGGCAGGGAGCACGGACGGCGTCCCGAAAGCCCTGGGCAGCTCTGGGCAGGGGAGTGACTTGTCGAGGGGGATTCTGAACCATCAGATCCAGCTGCTGTGGTGGGGACTCCTGAGGCTCCCGCAGGCAGGACAGGTCCTCCGCTCCTCCGCAAGCGGCAGGTCTGGAGCTGCAGGCAACACCTCCCCAGCCTGGCTGCTAGGAAATGTGTTCCTAGGCTTGCTGTGGTCGCAAATCCCCAGGGCCAGTCCCTCGCCCCTGAGGCGAGCCCCAGGGAGGCCTCAGCCCCACGGCGGGCCTGCCCCTGCGTGTCCCGGCGGCCTGAGCCCTGGCCAGGGAAGGGCTGGGTCACCTGCTGCAGCTTCCACTGCTTGTCCTCCCGGAAGGCGAAGTGCAGCAGCTGGTTGTTACGGGGCATCTTCAGATTCACGTCCTGACAGACAAGAGTGGAATAAGCCAGGCAGAGGGATGCCTCCTGCTCTGGCCTCTCTTAGCCTTGAGCCGGGGGCATAAACGGGGTGTGTGGTGGGTGGCTCAGGCCCCAGCCGCTCCACTGAGAGAGGGTCTCCCAATGCCTTGGCCACTTAGGGGGTGAACAGGGAGGTCAGGAAGCAGGAACCCAGGCCCAAGACGATGAGAAGGGGAAAGGTGGCCTCTGGGAGGCAGTAGGCAGATGGGGCGTGTCTGTGAAGGCCAACAGAGGGTGGCGCAGAGGAGGGACCTTCCCCCACGCCTTGGTGCTTGGCACAGGGTCAGGTGCAGACTAGAGCTCAGCGACTGGGGATTCAACTTTGATCCAGGGACAGCCTAATCCGCCGATGCCCACACTCAGCTGGGTCCACGCCAGGCTGGCGAGTATGCAAAGCAGCCCAGTCCCGCACCTCTCACGGAATCCACACACCAGTCCCAGGAGGAGGCACGGGGCTGCTGCCAATTTACAAAAGAGGAAACAGAGGCCTGAGAGGCCAAGGGTCCAGCCCAGAGTCACACAGTTAGCTGGCAGTAGAGCTGGGACAAGCAGGAGGTCCCTGTGCTCTTTCCACAGGCAGGATGGGGGCAGAGGGAGGACTCACCGCCTGGCTGAGGGCGTCCCCTTGCAGAGTCAGCACGCCCTTCACCTGGTCTGTGCTGTAACATGCAGGGGCCGGGGTCAGAGCAGCGCCTGCTGCCACCCCTCCCACCCCAGGCTCTCTGGTGAGCTGCCCTTGGCTGTCCCACCACATACCCAGTCTTCTGCAGGGCAGGGCTGTGACCATGCCTCCTGCCCCCAGGGTACCCCAGGAGTCTCCCAACCCCAGGGGCCCATCCCCCAGTTTCTGCTCAGCCAGGGCTCACCCGCAGCTTCCCAGGATGAAGTTCTCCTGCTTGGTGGGCCCCTCGGTGCCCGAGCCCGGCAGAGTGAAGCGGAGAGAGGCCTCCTATAGACACAGGGGAGCTGCAGAAAGTTCGCCCAAGTCTAGCCCAGTGCTCCTTCCAGAAGCCCCCCACCTCCAGGTCAGCCAGGGAAGGAACAAGGTAGGCTGGCCTCACCTGGCACCTGGGCTTAGCTGGGGGCGATGGCCCTACTCAAGCCACCAGGGCACCTTCCTGTGGCAGCCTGAGTCTCAAATCCTACACGAGCCGCGAGCCCGATACCTGCTCACTGTACATTCCCTACTGTGTACATTCCCAACTGTGTTTTGTGCCCACCATGGGCAACACAGAACAGAGAGCGGCGGCCTGCCGGCTCAGCTACATGTTGGGGCAGAGAGGAGCAGTCTGGGAACAGACAGTGGTCAACGGCAACCAGCAGTTCTGGGCCTCACCAGAGACTGCGCTGGACACGTCTGAGCTCAACGGCTTACGTATCTGCACAACAGCCCTGAGAGGCGGGCACTGTTATCTCCTTTTTGCAAAGGGAGGCCCAGGTCACAAGGCTGGGGAGAGGCAGAGATCCTCCAGCTCTCGGATTAATGTCAGTGCTTCAAGGCAGCCTCTGGCGACCCGAGCCCCGGGGCTGCATCCAGGCCCTTGCTAGCTCTCTCGCTGGGACTCGGCAGCCAATGCACTCGCGTAGCTGCTTGTGCAATTAGGTCAGATCTGCTGTGTCCCCGAGCGGACTCACGGAGTCTCCGAGGTGGGGGCTTGTCTGCCGCCGCCGCGTCCCGCACTCAACGGGCGCTCGGGAAGCAGCCCCGGAGAAGCCCGGAGCCTGCAGAGGCCCAGGCAGGGCCGCAGGTGCACGCGACGCCGGGTGCGTTACCTTGAGGATGTCCTGCAGCTGCCTCAGCACCGCGTGCACCTCGTCGTGCAACAGCCAGCGGAACTCCTCCTCCTGCCAGGACAGCGCCGCGGTCAGCGCCCGGCCCGGTTCGCCACCCCCGCCCCGCCGGCCCGCGCGCCTCACCAGCACCGCCCGCTCCGTCGCCGTCGCTGCCATCGCGGTCGCCATCGCCTAGCCGGTCGCCAAGCGCCGGTCCCCGCTGGTCCGCCCGGCCTGCCGCCCTTGTCGCCGATTGGCTGACGGGCGCCGGCCTCGCCCGGCCAAGAGACCCACGGGCGCCCCGGAACGAGGCTGGCGGCTGAGCGTATCTGGTCCGCGCCGGCCCGCCCGGGACGCCGTCGGCTGCAGCCTCGGGCGCGGCGCTGCGCCGCCGCGCTAGGCCTGGAGCACTGCCGCCGGCCCCGCCCCTCCCCGGCGCTGATAGGCGCTCTGCTCCACCTGCGCCCGCTGACTGGCCAGCACGGCGGCCAATCCCCAGAGTCCCCGCCCCTCTGCCCCACCTGCGCCCGCTGACTGGCCAGCAGGCGGCCTGTCCCCGCAGGCCCCGCCCACCCTCCCCACACAGCAATCGCCGCGGGCGAGGGAAGCCAAAAACTCACGCGACACAGCTGTGTTACCAAGAAATGTTTTATTTTTCTTGCAGTAGCTTTGTTAATTGCACAAAATCATGTTTTGTTTTTGCCATTTAAACATTATCACACAATCCTATTCTGAAAGACAAATGTTCATTAAAAACAAAGCAAAAATAAAAATTCACAACTTTAATTATCTAGAAGATTTGTCATTTAAAGGAGGTTTAAAGGAAAATAAGGAAGAGGGGCTTTCTTACAAGCTTTTTCACGTGTCACATTTTCTCCTTAAAAGGGAAGGATTTCAAAACAAAGGTGAAATAGCTTAAACAGAAATAGTCATAAAAAGGAACTTTACAGAATTGTCAACAATATTAAGACAACATTGACTAACCGGTTTCATTACAGCATCTTCCCCACCCCCACCCCAGTGTGTCCTGCCAGGCTTTGTGTTCAGACAGAAATGAGTCCAAAATCCCAGTGAAATGAACAACTGTGCTAAAAACCCAACAGGCATCGTCCCTGCCCTCCCCCCAAGTCTTCTGAGATCCTCTAACCTAGGTTCTAAGCAGTGAAAAGGGGCCAAAGCTGTGAGGGGGGAGGCCCCCCCCCCCACACCAGTGTGGCCACCTTTTTTATATATATAATTATATATTCCACTATAAATGCTGGCCTGCTGCAAACTGTGACTTTGGAAAATCCAACCTATGCAGAGGGAGAAAAAACTGACATCCCTTGGGTGACTTCTCCTTGTTCTTACGCAACATTCCAAGCCCCTTCTGGTCCCCAATCCAAGGAGAAATGCTAGGGCCTCAAGGATGTCCCAGACCCACCTCTGAGGGTCAGTCAAGTTCAGGTAGGTCAGGCCCAGTTCTCTTCCCTCCCAACAGATCCTGGGCCCGGGAAGCACCGAAGACCATGATGCTGGCCGGAGTGAAGACACTCGTTCCCGTATCAAGAGCTGAGACTAAGAAATGCTCACCGTTGGTCAGGCTGAGTCTGGGCCAAAGAAGGGACAGAGAGAAATACTGTCTCCATGGGAGGAAAAGGGAGAAGGGAGAATGCAGAGAGGTGGGGCACACACGGGGGCAAGCTAGAGAAGGTGGGACTGCCTTCAGGGGACATGGTCAGAGGGGCTCCTCAGAACCGGGTGAAGTCTATGGCATAACGGAAACAGGAAGGAGCCCTTCCCCTGCCACGTCTCGATCCTCATTGGTGGCCCTGAGGAGCCCCCTCCCAAGGGCTGGAATGCAAACCCAAACACTAAGAGCCTGGTGAGGACTGAGCTCCCACTCCCAGCTGCAAGGGCCCGGGGCAGCCCAGGGTGGTGCTGAGGAGCAGCGAGGGCCAGGCCTCCATGCGCACCTGCAGGCCGGCGCTCACCACTCGTCCTGGAAACCCAGAGCCCCGTGTCACGGGACTTTGCCAGTCTCTTTACAGTTCACAAAGGCGTTATGGAGAGTTAGTTGCACATGGGTCGCTTAAACATGAAAATCCTTCTCAGCTGGTCACCTGAGGTTGGAAGTCCCACCGGACCCTCCGTCTGGAGTCTGTACTGGCTCATCTTGGCCAAGAGCCTCTCCCTGCAGGGATTCCAATAGGGGACGTGGACATGACTACAGCCTCTTTGCTCTGTGGGAAGCTGTGGGAAGGCTTCCAACTCCCACTGCGGATTCTAGTTCCTTGTCTAGAAGGGGTTTGAGATAAGACAAGCTCGGAAGAAAAAAAGCCAGGCAGCAGTTTCTGGGCAGCTTCTATCCTGGGGTGAGAGCCTGTGTGTTGTGTTTGTGTGTACTGTGTGTGTGTGTGAGTGTGTGAGAACACACAGCCACCTAGTCCAGGGGCCAGTGCCCAGCTCAAGAACTTTCCCACAAGCCAATCCTGCTGACATCCCTCCTCTCCCCAGGCCTCAGGGGGAGGGTGCTGCTGTGTGCTGTGCTGATGGCAAGTCTCAAAGTCTGTATAAAAGGAAATGGAAACAGGTGGGCTGGTCCAGAGTTAAGTCCCAGGACCCCGACCCCATGTGAGGAAGAGGGGGTCAGAGGGTAGACTGGAGAGGTGGGGGGTGGGGGTGTCAACGGCTTAGTGTATGTAGGCTCGATACACGGCAGACATATCGTTGTCAGACTGGTCCAGTGCCTTGGCTCTTTTGTACACCTGGGGAAAAAAAGAGGTGAGGGTCAGTTTCTGGCCGCAGAGCTCTGTAAAGACCTAGACCTGACTCCCGGAGGCAGTTCTCACAGGCACGTCCTGGAGCTGAGGCTGTCTGGGTATGAATCCTGCCTTGACCTTGGGCAAAGCACCTCAGTTTCTCTGTGCCTCAGCCACTGCTTCTTGATTTGGAGAAGGTAACAGCACCAATCTTCACTGGACTGGGAGGATGAAATGTACTTCTGGATGGAAAATGCTCAGTGTTATTAGTAATTTAATAATGTCCCTTCCTGCAGATGGCCCTCCAAGGACGTCCCATGTTATCCTCTGGGTCATTGTCCTTACTGTTCCCTCTGCACAGAACACTTTTCCCTCAGTGTAAGTGGCTCCTTCCCAATCGCTCAAAGGCCTTCCCTGACCGCCCCACCTAAAGCAGTAGCCATGCCCACCACTTCCCCCTCACCTCTAACTCTGCTTTATTTGTGTGTCTTACGCTCCAAAATGCTTATGTGATTATCCTGTGCCTCCTTCCATTAAAATCTAAGTGCCACAGGGAGGGAAAGAGCTGGCTGCACACTGACTTGTCTCCAGAGCCTTAGAGCAATGCCTGGCGATTAATAGCTCAGGTCTGTCAACTCAGAACGAAGGCTAAATAAAGACATTTAAAGATAGAAAAAAATTGTCACCAGCAGACCAGCATTATAAAAAATTCCAAAGAAAGTTCTTTCAGTGGAAAGTAAATAACATCAAAGAAAAACTCTCCTTTAGGAAGGAATAGAAAGCACTGGAAATGGAAAATGTAAAGAAACATTAAATTCTTCTCTTGCTATGTTGCCCAGGCTGGAGATAAAGGCAAAAAAATTTTTTTTTCTCTAAATTTATTTGCTTTTTTTTTTTTATTTTTGAGACAGAGTCTCACTCTGTTGCCTG